GCGCGCGATATCCTTTATTTCTTTCTTCCAGCGCACTTTATCAGCGTATTTTGCGAATAAAAATAAGAGCAAATTAATACATTGTAAAAGTACGCGCTTGAAGGTACCGCCAGGACGTTTCGGAATACGTAATTGATTGAAAATTCACCGGAATGTGTCTGTTTAAACCCCATCCTTGTCAATATCTTTTTCTGCTTTTGCTTCGTTTCTTTTCCTCTTTCACTTTTCCCAGATAAGTCAGGTTTATAGTTTCATTGGTTTCTTTGTGCACAATTTGCCCTCGCATTGTCAATAACGTGCCGAAGGTATCCATTTTCCCGTAGAAAGACGAGACGAATGAATAAATATATAAATGATCGCTTTAACGGCGCGTATTTGCGGATTCAATTTTTCATATTACTTCTTAGCTACTTATCAAATATATGATGATATGTCGTGAAAACCAACGATATCGCTCTCCCCCCGGTGTTTCCTCATGGGATTCTCGCGCGTTATTAAATACGATCCATCTCGCAGGAGGCCATCAATCTCGAGGTCTCGTTCCGGCCGTATCAATCATAGACGCGAAAGTGGCCGTTCGTGTGATTTCACGGATACGGATGAGCGGATCCACCGCCTCGCGGTGGAGACGATTTCTGTCGCGGTTGCGCAACTAACGCACGCGCGTGTCTCATTACGCGACTTACGCGTATCGCGACGGTTGTTTCAGATGGACACGACGATTCGCGACGTTGTGTAAACGTTGTAACAGGAAGGGTTACAATTTCGCATGAGTTCGTATCATTCGAGAGCGGATCCGTTCGCGGGGCTGCCGTAAGAATAGAGAAACCGAAATTTCTCCCGTTATCCTTCGCGAGGTTGTCACGCAACCTCGTGTAATTAATGCAGGACATATATAATATTGCGATAGAGCGCGAAATACTTCACCACCCGGCGGCGGAGGTGGAGCAGAAGACGGTCACGCGCGTCCTCGATTACCAATTGTGACCTTTTTCACGCCGATTTTAAACGACGCTCATTTAAATACCGAACTCGCGCCGGCGGCGATCCGCGGAGCGGATCCGCTAATGACAACTTAAAGTGCGCGTGTTTTGCTCGGCCGGCTGGTTATAATAAGTTTCGCGGTCTCGTACCGGCTTGCGGGATACACTCCGTGAGCGCGAACGTGCAGCTGAATTAATCACGGAATTCGCTAATAGTTTGTACTACGGTCGAATCCTCTCATTTAATGGACTACCGAAGCTCGCCCGTAATAAATGCGCCGCATTATTCATAGGGCTCTCGGCGGCTTAACTCGCTTAATAATTTCCACGCTAATCAATATTTACCGATCGACACGTAAACAGCGCTTCCCGCGCCCGTCTTTCGCCAGCGATTTCGGTTAATCCCCTCCCCCCCCCCCCTCCCTCCTTCTTCTCTCTCTTTTCTTTCCCCCCAAAATTTATGTCGTACATGATATAAAACTGAAGGATCTTTCGTGGCTTACATAATGCAACACAGTGACGTGATAATACGCGCGCTTTCCCACGGTTACATCTATCGTCGCTCCTGACACCACGACTTATTGACGCGATATCGCAGCTGATAATTAGCACAGTAACTTAATTAAAAATCAACGCCGCATGTCGATCGGCGTGACCGGTGTTGCAATTACTTTCACCGCGCAAATCGCGCGACCGCCAATTAATCGACGAGATTGTTTTCTGGAGCGGGAATACATATCCGGCAGATAATCGGAGAGCGATGCGCATTTATATCGCCGTGTTGCACATTCGCCGGACCGTCGTGTGCGGGCAATGCGCAGCGCCGAGTGCGAATTGCAAAACTGCTTAAAATTAACGCGACCACGCACGCGATAATAACTTTCGCGCGCTGAGTTCAAAGGAATCGTGAAGATTATTTCTTTCATGCGTGAAGATAATTCATTTATAACCTTCGTCATCCTGCCTACATATGCTGGAAAAATGACAAAATCGACACGTTCCGAAGGGATTTAAATTAAAAACGAAATATTAATTCATTTATAAATTTGTCGGATGGTAAGGCTTTAGCTGGTCGGAACAAATTGATCGTTATCTTGACGTCATTGCGAAAATAAGGAAAAATCGACAGATCTTGAGATCGTCGTCATCTTACCCTGCCGTTTCCACCACCGTCGCGAAGCGATGATAAAATTCGCAGATATTGCCGCGGAACGACGTTTCGGGCTCATTACCGCTTTCGCGCGCGCATTCTCGCGCTGTTGCGAAAGAATCCGAGGAACAATGTTGCTCCGTGGTCCTTTTTCTCTTCCTCTCTCAGATTGCGCGTCCGATTCCACCGCACATGTCGTAAAGCGTAATGCGCTCTTGAAATGGTCGCGGGAGCAACTTGGCGAAAAGAGGCTGCGCTAATGAGAAGGTATCTCGCGCTCGAAACTCGCCAAATAAAGCGCGGCTGGCAGGAAAATGCATAGCGAGAGGCCATAGTTTGATGTAACCCAATTTATGTAACCTTGTTACTAAACTGTTTGCCATCATCACGCGCGCCCTGTAATTTACGCCGGCGTGACTTAATAATGATTAGCAGGTTAATCGGACTGACTAGTAATCGCTAATTGAGTGCGTACGTTTGCCCGGTGATGACTTGGTTCCTCTGAAACTCCTCGTTCAAAGAATGCACATAGAATTCGGGTGGGTTCAGACTGCAACGGCTCGTTCTGAATAAATTAACAAGGTGATGCGCAACGGTTGGATTCTCTACTTTCGGTTGAACTTTCGTTTTAGAACGTCCCAATGAGTCTGTCATATTAAAGAAATACGTTGGTTTTAGGGTACCTTGTATATTATATAAGTGATATTTTACTGTTTTTATTCAACATCTCTGCGAATAGTTCATCGAATTATTCCTATATGGTTCAGTTAAGACCGTTGTCCCTATATGGACGCCTACTCACACGTCACCTGCATATAGGTGACATGGCGGTGTATAAGCGTTAACTTTGTACACGGCCTCTGACCTTCCCCGTTTCGGGGCGCGACACAGGCGGCTTTAATTGGCTAGACGGATAGATCGTCTCGTCGCTGAGAGAGCGAGGCGAATTCTACGTCCACTCGGTAGCGCGTGTTTTATCGGGCAGCGGTGATCCGGAGGCATAACGGAGTTCCAACATCCGGCGCGCGATTCGCCAGGAGGAAAAGCGCCCCCGGCAGGGATCCTCAGACGTCGCTGCTCACCGGCGTTATCAACGTCAGTGGGAATATCCGCGGGATGTCAGCGTCGAAACTCCATTTACAAAGGGATACTGCTGAAATGGCGGACGTTCGTCAGTGGCGTAGCTTCCCTCGATTCGAGGCGGAATTCAGCGCAAAAAGAACGGCCGAAAAAGCCCGGAGTATACGTAACTTCTGTGTTGCGGACGGTTTACTCGGTACCGTCCGACCGGCGCGGTATTGTTCTACTTGAAAATCGGCGGACCTTCGCGGTTCTCGTTGCTGCTTTAACCAGCGGGACGTCTTTCGAAACGTCTCCGTGATGTCTCCCGCGAACTTCTCCCCCGTTCTGTCCGGCTGATCCCTTCCCCCCTCGGACAGAGAGAGAGAGTGCGAGCGTATTCGCGGGTCATCGTGTTGCTCGCTGATTCTTACTGAGCGTAGTTACACTCGGTAGCTACGCTCTTGGCATTCGACAACTTCGTCAGACGGGAGTCGCGGTTTTTGACGCGAGGACATTTCCCCCTGCCGCGCCGTTCGAGGGAATGCTGCGAAACTAATTAACGCGCGGCGCGGTCGATACGTGAAACGAGACCGTTGCCTGCAGACGGAGGCGTCGCTTGGAACGCGCGTCGGCAGGAGACTCGCACACCGTAAACTCCGTCGTGGAGGTCTGAGGTCGCGCGATTATACGCAAATAATAAAGAGACATTACGCCGGAAATTTCACTTCATCCTCGCGAAGTAGCGTTTTCCCCGTTTTTATACATTTCGCTTCGGACTTTATTTTCTCTTCATTCCCGGGAATATTTAATTTCCCTTCCAAAGCGGACTCGCCGGTAAGCGAAATTCCTCGGAATTTGTCGGAAAAAATCACAGAATATAAATAGAGGCAGGGGAGTTGTTTGCGTTTACGGGAAGACGCGTGTTTGCGAACGAGTCGATTTCGCAGCCGCTTTGTTAACGCGCTTCCGCTACTACCGCCGTACGCATGCGCGCTCGATTTTCACGGCACAGCGGCGTCACGTATACGTGACGTGTCAATTAGCCATTTCTCGTGTCGCATTTCCTTTGTATATAATTAAAAAATGCGCACACTATGCGTGAAAGTTAGGTTAAAGAGGCGTGGCCCGTGTATACACAGAGAAAAGGGCTTCGCTGTATGCGTGTTTAATTAGATTTCGGTTTGTTGAATATGAACAACATGATTTAATATTAAATATTAAATTTTTTTCGAATGAAAACGTTGTTGTCTCACAATGTTGTTTGACGGGAAAAACCGTATTATTTAGAGAATATATTTCGCTTTTAATCAACAAAATTCATCTCACTAATACATCAAACATTATCCCGCCGAACGGAAAAAGTTTTTAAATATTTTTCTAACATGGTGTTACTTCTTTCAAGTCAATATCTTGCTTGAAAGACTTTATTTACTGCCATTGTAATGTTTGGATGAAAATATAAAAGAAATGTGTTATTTGATATAAAAATATTTACTGTGCCAGAAACCAGACAATCCCTGTTTGCCGAATCAAACATTCGTTTGTTCTATTCCAAAAGACAAATTTGCTTCAACTAAAAAAATTCTGCTAAATCCAAAGAAACTTTTTCCTCTGTGTATACCGAGGGGCTTTTTTGTTAATCCAACCTACCGGTGATAGCGAACGGTGTTAAGTATGTACGGCAACTGTGGAAACTCTCAACTAACATTAGCGCCGAAACGAAATCGTCGGTACTACGGGGAGCAGGCAATTACCCAGAGAGCGAATAGTTTCTAGTTTAATTTCCAGTTTAATCAAGCGCGATATTACACGTCAACAGGTACATTTACCACTGTATTATGGCATACGTGCGCTAAACTATTACGTTTCGTCTCTGCGTTCAGTTCGACGAAAAATGCATGATCCAGCGTGAATTCGTTTCCTGCCGACATTATCGATCCTTCGCGCTCGTCGTCCATCATCGGTGACCGTCTTCAGCTCGACGGCATGGCACTAGTCCGCTAATATAAAATATAATAATACGAGGAGGCAATTCCGATAAAAATGTTCACGGGAGCGAGCCGAACGCCTACACGGAGAAAAGTAATCTAATGATTCAATAATTTCGTTAATACCGTCGCAGCAAAATCTATCGGTTATCATTACGTGGACAGCAAAACGATTTGTTCAGAGCACCAATTGCTGTTCGTTGGATTATTTTGCCGAATCTACAAATTATTTTGCGATGAAAAGCAATTAGTAAGTACAAGAAAGCACTATTTTAGTTTTAACATCGAATTAACGCGCCTCAAGGATAAATTCGCTCAGCCATTTTTCCGTCCCGGCGACAAAACTGTTTCTGCTCTAATTTCGAATAATTCGCCGATTTGTGCGTTTTAACGCCGTCGCGACAAATATGTGCAACAACAACGATAGTTTCGCTGCGGCAGCAAACATTATTTTCCTCTTGTATCTCAGAACGTTCTCTCAGAAGATCTCCCAGGGGGAATGAGCGTCGAGGGTGGGCTCAGTGTCCCACGGAGTGGAAGGCTCGAGGAGAAGATCCGAATGGGACGCGGATTTCGATTCCGTGCTTTCCTCCCCGTCGCGACGGAAGGGTCGAATAAGGTTTTCCCTCAGAAACGGCCGCACTGGTTGCCGACGTTTTTGATGGTGGCACCGCCGAACACCTTTACGGGTGTCCTGCTCCAGGAAATCAGCATCAGCGAGCCGCCTATGGGAGGGCTGCCTCTGCCCAGTTGGCAATGCGCGTAGGACAATTTCACCAAGTGCAGACCCAAGGGAGCGTCCGGCGCGATCTCGAGCGCGGCGTTGATTTCTCCGATCACGTTTCTGCGCACCGGCGACGCACCTCCCCTCTCCGGCCCGTCGGTGGCGTCCGGCAGGTGCGACGACGACGACGGCGAAATTGCGGAACTTTCATCGCTCCGCGCCGCTTCTGCGCTCCATCGCAAAATTCGGCGGAACCAATTGGGGCTGAGCACGAATCGCCAGGAAACGAGTCTGTCGAGCGCAGATTCACGATCCGAATCGTCCGTCGTCGCTATTTTCGCCCGAATACCCGCGACGTACGGATTGTGCTCGGCCAGATTGGTAGCGACGGCCGGCGGGAATGGAAGCCTTTGATAGCCGTAGTCGAGGAAATCGAAGGCCGAGGCCAACAGAAGATTGAAGCCCAAAACCGAACCCTCAATGCCCTCCTCGAGCCCTTTATCGAAGTCCGTGTATTCTTGACCCAGGACAATATCGCCGCCCGCCGGCACCACGTGATCGATCATCTGCAAGATATTTCGCCGGGTGGAGATTCTTCCTTAGCCAACTCATGTGACGACGTATCGCGCATCAATGTACGCCCTGACGCGGAGAGAATCGCGAGGAAATCCGGAGAAAATCAGAGGCGTCCGCTCCTCGTGAATTCAGAGCGTTTAAGCAAACCTTGAGTGTAAAAAACGAACTTCATGCTCGATCGCGAAAATGATCTGCCCGTCGAGAAAGGCTCGAGGATCGGATCTCTCGAGAGCACGATTACGTGCTTTTACTTACTTCCAACTTTCTTGTGCGCCGTGTAACAGTATACCGCGTGTACGTCCGGCTTGTGTAAAGGAGCGGTAGTCTCATTAGCGAGGAAAAAAGAAAACGTGATGAAATTACGGCGGCGAGAGAGCTTCGCGCGATAGCGAGTTAACGTAACTAACGTAACCTCGTGGTTTACCTTTTCGGAATGACCTTGCAACTCCAAATGCCCGTCGAGCCACAGGGCGTAACGACCGACCCGATTCTCCCAGCTTTGACATATGTGGTGCCAACGGTGCTCTCGTATGCCAACCTGCCATCCGAACACCTCCACACCGTCGATTTCCAGGTGAACGCTCCTTCCGCGCGGCGATATCCAAGATCGAATCAAACGTTCGCGCTCGTTCCCTTTGACAATGAAAGAGAATTATTCTTCTATCGCTTCTTTCTCTCTCTCTCTCTCTCTCTCTCCGGCTCCCCTTCCCCACCTCCCCCCTCTTTCCTTCATTGAATAGAGGTATAGCGAGAAACGCATGAAACTGGAAGTTACGCAGCCGTTACACTTTCAATACGTTCTCCTGTATACATAATATCAATAATATGCCGGTATATTTACGTTAATTATATAACATAAATGCTCGTATTGCGATATATATTTCTACACGCGAAGGAAGAAATATTTGATTTCAAGATTAACATCTAACACACGCTTTTCATTTTGCGGCCGGATAATTGACCTCACCGCTCGAGCCGGACGGTAATACGCAAGTTACGAAAATTCCATCGTGTACAAAGCTTCGTGTAATTGTTGGAACAAATATCACGGAGATCGAATGGATAACGTTTCTGTTCTCTTCGGCTTTTTGCGTCAGATTCGGAGCACTCGTTTATCCTCTCACAGCGCGATAGCGCATTATCTTACAGGTACATTAAGATTTCACTGGAGTACTTAATGAAGCAACGTTTCTCGCGAGGGACGAGATCGCTCTATCGGCTGTCGGAGCGTAAAATTCGCATAATATAACGCAATTCGGCATTATTAGCGTTTCACCGATGAGAGGCCGCTGATTCTCGCGCATAAAGGAGGATAACACGGCGAAGTGTTCATTAGTAGCTGGCAAACTGTAACGTTCCATGCGGCGTGCAGTATGCGCGAATGAAGAGACCGTTTTCCATAATCTAAGATACTTTTCCCGCCGACTTTTCGCGGTAACGGCTCTCTTGTGTAACTACTCGGTGAATGCCTGAGAGTGGATAATAGCGCCCGGCGTCGTCATGTAAGAAAGCAGATTCTCGTTACCGTTCTCGAGCGGTTAAAATAGTTCTAGATGGAATAGCGTTAAAACGTCACGAACGCGGTCGTCACCTTGTCTCCCGTTCGTTGATATTACCGTTCGCCGCACGACGTAAGTCACGACGTAAGCGGTTACGGAATTATCTCTTCGTCCGAGTCGCGAGGAACGAGAATCCTTTCGGCAGAAATAGTTACAAAAATAAATATTCCTCTTACCAAATATCTAATATGTGTCGAAATTGTGTCATGGGTGGTGTCATAAAGAGAAAGAGAAAAAGAAAACGATTGCGAGACGATATGCGCAACCAATGAGGTGAATGTCCAAATTAACGACAAAGTTATCTCATTGTGAATATAAATGAATAAATTCTTATATCCACACACGTACATATACAGAGAGAGATAATGAGAGAAAGAGAGAGAGCAAAAATGCTAAAAAATAGTTATTCGGCATAAAAATAAATATTCGTTTACCAATTTACTTAATATACAGTGTCGAAATTGTGTCATGGGTGGTGTCATCAAGAGAAAGAGAAAAAGAAAACGATTGCGAGACGATATGCGCAACCAATGAGGTGAATGTCCAAATTAGCGACAAAATTAGAGAGAGAGAGAGAGAGAAAGCAGAAATGTTTAAAATACGTCATATTCTAAAGATATCGTGCGATCGTCACAAATTGGGACACCCATTAATTAAGACATCCACCTTACGCCAAGTTTCTATTAATTGCTTCATTAACTGCGATTTAATCGGGAATACTTACTCGAGTATGAAAAAATCGAATGAGGATGTTTGAGATCATTGGACTTCACCCACAGACAGAATGTAAACTCGTGGATCGCTGGCACCGGCAGTTCCCATCTGAGAAACTGAAAAGTGGCGATAATTAGCGAAGAGCGTCGCGTGCTACCGCACGCGCATCTAATTAGAGCGATGTTATGTACAAGCTGCCGCAAACACGTTCCGCTCGCTTTTATCTACAACACGGAGTTTTCGTTCAACTTAAAGTCCAGTTTCTCCTCGCGAAAGTTTCACTCGCTCAAATTTACCTGAATTTCGTTGAAATTTTAATTGATCCCGCTTTCATGAAATTGCAATCTAAGAGACAGTTGCGCAAACATTATTCAAACGAAAACGTTAGAAATTGGTTTTTTTTTTTCACAAGACCGAAAGGAAGGATTTTTTGCGAAAGAGAAATTCACCTCGAATTGATTAACGCACGAAGGTGCGGATAAAAGAAAGTGCGCGCGCGCGTGATCTAGCGTAACGTGGAACGCTTCGCGCGCTCGCGTTACAAAAACGCGCGTACAGATCGCCGACATTTCTTAGAGCGAGCGAAAATTAAGCAATACACTGGTGTGAAACGCCAATTCTCTCCTTTTCTATGTTTTATTTTTTTCTCACGTGCCACGGAACCGTCCGACCCGCGGCTCACGTAATTGATAGTAATCTCACGGATTGCAACGCTTCGCTGAGACACGTGTGTACCCCCTCGTACAAACCGACAACGTATCGATTTATCATTACTTATTTCTCGTCGTTCTGCCGGCTTTTCACTCCCGGTATTTGTAATTGCGGTTTGCGGAACGGCTTCGTTGCGCAATTCGTGCGCGCTGCCAATTCGGCACGGGCATTTCGGGGAAACTACGAGACCCCCGTGCGCATTCCGTGCGAAACCGCGCTAACAAGAGAGAGAGAAATGAACAGAAAGGCGCGAGATTTGAGAATACTCTCCGGTGCTCACCTGGATGTAACCTTTTTGCGTCAACTGGACCTTGTGCATCGGCGGCGTCGCGTCGCCGACGTTTCCCCGGCTCGCGCCAGCGAGTGCGACCGGCGGTCCCGAGATCGCCGCGGTGCGCCAGTCCAGAAAGATCGAGGACAAAAGGAGCAGGATGCTAATTCCGAGGTTCGTCGTGGGCTTCTTCATTCTTATCCGATCATCACCCTGCCCTCTCGTTTCATCCGCTGCTGCTTCTTCAATCGTCCCGCGCGGGCCAAGGTGTCCCGTCTCTCGATCTCGCACGCCTTTCCTCGCGCTTCTCCTTTCCTTCCTCCCCTTTGTTTCTCTTCCCTCACTCCTTCCCCGCCTCTCCTTCCTATTCTTATTCGCGATCAGTCCTCCCTCTATTTTTATCCCTCCCTTACCCGCCGACTCGGCTCTCCCTCTGTTTAATCTTATCCCACGTCTATCTGATAGCGCGCGCGCGCGTTCTCTCGAGAGGAGGATCTCGTCCTCCAACCGTTATCCGCTCAACTTTTCCTTCAGCAACTTTTCCTCCGCTACCTTTTTCACCCGCTACGCCGCGAGTTTTCCCTCTTCCTCCCGTTTTCCCGCCCCATCAAAGTGCAGAGAACTACCTGGCATCTCCTACCGTCTCGTCGATCCTCCTTGCACCCATCCGCTGCGCCGATTCTTCCTTTTTTTCCCCTCTGTATCGGCAGTCGCTTCACTTCACTCCTCGCGCAACTCCTTCGTAACTTGTCCTTCGCTCGCTGACTGACACCTTCCGCGATCAGGGCAACGTCGCGCGCGGATCCGCCGGCTGTTAAGTCCGTTTTCGAAAAGCGGCTCCTCCTTTCCGTCTCCTGTCGACCCGCCACCTCGGTTGATGATTTTTCCCCGATCGCGCCGGAAGCCGGAGAGCCGTCTTCTTGCTGCGCCGTTGCTCGCTAAAAAGCTGACCTTTTCTCGGTGTACACCACCACTTCTCTCGGTACACTTGGCACGATCGCTGAAGAATGTAAAGATACTTCGCTGCCGGCTTTCTTTGCCCGACGTGTGACAGCTTTCACGTTCTAGAAGCACAAAACGCAGCGATAACCTTGCTCTTCCGTTGACCTGCCGTCCCTGCTCGCGCAATCAAAAGCCCCGACGACGCTTCCCTGATGATCTCTATAATTAAAAGCACGTCAAGCGGTAAGACGACGACCCTCCAATCCGACGGGTCTCTTTTCACATTTCCCGTGGACGGGAGAGAACAGAGTAAAGGAGAGGAATATATATATCTGTCTCCCTGTCTTTTATGTATGATCGACGCCTGGGAAAGCAATTATTTTTCCTTCCTCTTGCGTTCGGTGTTCCAACTCGTTCGCCACTGAAGCAGAGCGCACACGGACGTAGCGGGAGAATAGAATAATCCTGTTCCTGGGTCGGGAGGGAAGCTCAATTCCTCGTCGTAGGTTCCTTCGTAGATTTCCAGGATCGAGTTACAGAAAATCCGGGTGGTAGAACCTCTACCTCGTTTCTTTCCATCGGTCGATTCTCCCCAACTCCACCTGCCCAGCGGGATCTCGCTCTCTCCCTCGATTCGCCCGGCGAGCGGAACGACCAGCCGAACCCACGGCGACGGTAAACAACGACTAAAGGGAAATCGATGCGAATCGGCCGAACGCGAGCGCGCGAATAAGGAGTAGAATCGGTAAGAGGGAGGTCCTTTCGTGTCCGCAGGCTGAGACGGCCTGTTTCTTCAGCTACCGCGGGCATGTCGCGTAATTTTTACCACGGCGAGTGTGGACGACGAGAGCGATATGTCGGAAATGCGCGACCGGCCATCCCGAGATACGCGCATGCGTATGAAAACCGGTTCACATGCATTTGCACGTGAATACGTTACATTCGTGTTCGTCAGAGTTTCTTCTTCACGCCGATGAAATGAAGAGAGAAATGCAAGTGAGGTGACTAATTAAAAAAAAGGAAAGCTTAATTAAAAGGAAGGAAAGAAATTGCGGCCAAATCCCGCCCAAGTTTTCCCCCGAAATTTTGAATCCAACTTTGACTTCAAATAAAGCTTAACGTGCCATGGATTTTATTTTAAGTCAAAGTTGGATCCGAATCTTTCGCCCGGAAATTTTTGGCGAAATGTTTACAGGCGCTTGGCCGCTCTCTTCGCGGCAAATATTGATTTCATCACGGACGGCCTGTAATTCGTGAGGAAAGTCGCGACGGAATTTCATCTACAACTCCTATGCTCGTCGTTTGACGCAGAGAACATTCTTGAATTCGCTTACAGCGCGCACACCTGCGAACTTCGATTGTTCTTTTACGCAGGTAGAATTTCGCCGCAAATTATAGATCGTCCAAAGTAGGCTTCGCCGGCCTTGTTTCGTAAAATTCCTCGATTATATTTCCGCGACTGAACTATTACGGAATGGACCGGCTACCGTTGCCACCTCGACGTCCGTCGTAATAGTCCGTAATGTGAGGAATAACTTCATCGGATTAATAGCCGCGCGATTTGCACGTGGACTCCGCTAACGCGCGCATTCTGTACGCGCGTCGGGCGTTTCAACCTTCGTGTGCGATCGATACGGGAGAGGTAATCTTTCTCGTGGAAAGTTGCCGAGACACACGGCGCGAAACAAGCGGGATGACACGGCGAATAACTCAAAGCATTCCATGTGGCGGGCATGAGCGGAATTAGAAGCGCACTCTATCGCACGTACAAATATTTCGGACCGCACTTTCTCGGAAGGATGCATCCATCACGCGTATCGAGATACCATCCGAGGATCTTATCCTCTGGTCTCTCACCGCTCTGCGTAACGAAAAGGTAGAAATCATATATATTCGCGCGATTGATACATCGTCCAGATTTATTATTATTCGACGTGGCAGAAGAATGTATGCTACGTTAATACGGCGGTTACTCCTACGAGCTGAACACATGCCGCTGATCAGTTGAAAGAAAGTTCGTGCCTGGTCGATGCGTAATAACGTACGTAAGCGTGTGCGCGTCAAGTGACCGTAAGAATAGACAGATATTGGATAGTCCGTGCTGGAAAGCCAACGTCAACGTGGCTGAAAACCTGTTGCGAAAGCGTCGGTCTGTGGACGCTCGGCGGTTCTTCGGGCGATCATCTTGAATTAGCTCGCCGATTATTAGAATATTGCCAACCTATTATCGCCTAACCCGACCCGTGTTGACTGACGGGCGATTAAACGGCCGTGACGAAATACGGGATCATTCGTTCTTTTTTGCATTCGACGAGAATGACGGCCACGACCGTTGAATCGCGCATCGGTGGAGGGACGAGGAAATTAAGGATGTATTGCCCGTTAATTGTCGTATTTTTCATTAGCTCTTCTTTCTTATCAAACTCATTTCACCTTACAACCTCCTTTAAAGTGCAATAACTTTTGATTCGGTAATTCACTAAATTACCGTCGAATTTCTCGCTTTCACTTTTCAATGTAACGCGGATCGATTTGTAAGTTTTTCATGATTTTCCCATCGTTTTGAGTTATCGGGAAATTGAGTTTATGGGCGATACGTGCTTGAGAAATGCCTTCTCGGATCGTCGTAACGTAACTTAAATCACCTACCTGTCTTCTGCTTGCAGACAGCCAAGAACTCGACGTCGGGCAGCGGATATTACGTGGGCGGAAGCAGCACCTTGCCACGCGGCGGGCCGCTTCTCAGGGCGTACAGCCCGGCGGCGTCGAGCGTCGTCGGCGGGCCGAACGCGACGCCGACGCAGCCCAAGACTCTTACCACACCAGGTATACGAATGCCCGCGTTCCTCCTACCTCTACTCTTCTTTCGCGACCGCGATGCGTGTCGTCGCGTGCGCGAGTGCACACCGGTGCGAGTGTGTGCTGATCGACGCGCGATGGACGAGCCTCGGCTCGTCCGAGACTCCATCGGCGCGATCCGTCGAACGAGCGGTCCAATGATGTTCCGGAGACCGCCCTTGCAACTGGAAGCCTCTCTCGATTCACCGGCTCCTCGAGCCGCGGCGTTACGTGTCGATATGTTAAATTTATCGGCCGGCGAAGGAGAAAGCGGTCATCTCGTTGGACGTTCCGAGCGAGTAACGAACGCGTGAGAAAATTCGTTTTCCTCGCAGTAACGCTTTTCTCTCTCTCTCTCTCTCTCTCTCTTGCATTTGTGATTTTGTTTACATAAAAAATGCGTTTTCACTCAATATCAGTGGGATTAATTAAGTTGGCAGGAGCGAGATTTGTTGGAAGTTAGAGATGTTCGATCCTGAGTCGATTTTTTGAAAGATCTATTTTTCCCTCGGAAAATCAACTTTATTAAATAGATCCCTTTCAACGGGAACCTCACTTGTTTGAAGTTCGTTAAGGTGAACACTGTTTGGAAATAAACTGGCTTACGGGCGTGTGATTTGCGGAGTGCTTACTTTCTCACATTGATTTAAGTAGACGAGAGCTTTACCCGTAGTGATAATTATTATTAATTAAGATCAGTCACTGGGAATGAAATATAGTACAAAGTCACATAGGAAGAGAAAGAAAGAGAGAGAGAGAGAGAGAATGTACGTGTTCAATTGAAAAAGAACGAAGATTTACCACGTAAAGTAATTTCTCCTTTTCAACACGACGAAACAAGGATACATCGCGTGGTGCTCCCAGAGAGATTAGAGAACAATGTCTTTGGATCGCTCACGACACAACTGTGATCACGTCAATGACTGAATCCTACCGCTTCGCGCCTGTGCATTCCCCTCATACCTGCATCGATGTTCCACGTAGTGCAGCGCATACACACACGCACACCCATATTACCGGAGTATCCTTCACTCACGGGGTTCACGCAAATACACATTGTGCACGTTCCGCTGCAGCTCCCCTCAAGATGCCTTACCGCTAAGGTGACCAGAAATGTGAAATTCCCTCGAAAACGTTACGATAGATCTCCAGAATTCCCGGAATCCTCTTTGATCCCCGCGTCAGAAAGATCAACGCAAGCACGGCGCGCATATTCCGCCCTGTCTTTGATATTATATGGAACAGGTGTGCGAAATTCGCGTTGATCCCGGCGAGTCCGCGAGACGTCGAATTCGACTCGTTCGAAAGAATCGACGAGGTCTGCCGAGATCAATTGGCATCGATCGATCGAACGTTAGACGGTAAAATTGCCTTCTTTTCATCGCCCGTCCGACGGAAATTCGTTTTACGAGATCGCGCTCGTGTGCGCGTACACGAGTGTGTACTCGCGCGCGCACATCTCGTGCGCATTTTTCCCATTGGCAATGTAAGATTCTGGTCGCCTTAATCGTAAACGAACGCCAAGAACGCTTGAACACCCGTCGACGATGAACATCCCGCTGCGACATACGGAGCCACCGAAGTCCCCTTTCGTCATCTTGGGTGTTTCCGAAAATTGGTCGAGTCGGGCCGCGCAGACCCTCGTCGAGCACGTAACAAGGACGAACCGCGCGGACGTTGCCGCAAATAATCGCAATTTCACGCGTCTTTTCCCCGAGATCGCCTCCCCCTCTCCCCCCCGACTCGACCAATTTTTCCCGACGCGTACATCCCCGTGCTTTGAGCTTGAGCTGCGCATATACATCCGCACGAAGAGACACCCACACATGCGATCGCTCCATTCTTCATGTTTCCGATCGACGGTCGCAAGAATCGTCTCACGATTCTCGATCACGCAGGCCGTCACGACCGTTGTTGAGCGCAACTCGGGACTGCTCGAAAACGAGCTTAACGAAGCTGGCCCAGTTTAGTCTCGGAAGGGAAAGAACGGCCTCGGGAGACCGCGAGCGTTTCCCTCGTTGCCGGGAGAAACCTTTAGCGCTGAGCCGCCGAAAGGAAGAGACACGTCGTGACACGCGAACGGTCGATCATGCAGTCGGTGTGTCCCGATTAACCGCTATGACGAAGTAGATCGGAACATAAAGCACGGACGCGTACTGTAAGCTGCCGAAGGGAAAGACCGACGCTTATTGGCTTATTGGCTGAAGGAGATCCTCTCCTCTCGATGCTTCAATTACTACGGCGCGGCCGAGAAGTGCATATGTGTGTAAAAGTCGGCGAGCCGTCGCGTCTGAATTTCAACGGGAAATTTCGCGATCGCCGACTCGAGACTGCAACGCCGGGAAGAGAGGAACGCGCGACGGTTGTCTAAGAGAGAGAGAGAGAGAAAGGGACAATGTCGGGAAACTCGAGCGTCGGTCGCGTCTTCTCGCCCGCCCGGACTCGCGACCGTTTGCTTCCCTGCGCGAAGAGGTTATCGCGGTCAGTTCGTACATCGCCGTATCGGACGTTTGCGGGGGAGAAATATATGAGCCAGATCCGCTCTCTCGTCTCGTGAAAGCCGCGGAAAAGGAGCTGAGGAACGTAACGGAAAAGCGCAGCACGCGCGCCCGCGGGCAGACCGGAGCTCCGTCTTGTTCACTTCTGCATGCGCACTGAACGTCGAACGGCTTCGCGAAGTGGCGAAGAAGAGAGGAACGTGCGTCGGAGCACCTGGGTACATTGGTTTTTTGTTTGGTTTTTTGGATGGTTGGATAGGTGGTGGCGGGGTGCCGCCGGCCAAGCCGCTTCGCAGCTACCAGTGTGGTAAGAGTCCCCTTGGAAGCCTCGGGGGCTCGGCACGCTTCTCTAGAGACAGCTCGGTCTCCCTCTATAGTATACCAGGTCAGTAGTATCCTTAAACATTCGTCAGACACTGAGAGTGCTTGATCCTTCCATGGCGAGCCGCGCGCGGCGATCGACGCGGCGCGCTCGCTCGCTCACGTTTTGCAAGGCCGCGGGGAAACCTACTAAACTCCGCTTACGATTGCTGCTAATAACGAAGGAGTGCGCAACACCGCATTCCTCATGCATGAGGACCGTAAAAATTTATCGAGCGAAAATTTGCCGCAACAGACGTCGACTGCGTGCTAATCGTAGGGGAAAAGCATCAAAACTGACGTTTTGTTTTCGTTGGGGCCTTAGAGCCGCGTTGAAGAGATAAAATGAACATTTATGCACACCGATGCAAACCAGCAACGACTCCTCTACCAAAATATTTGATGGTCTTGTGAAAGTTATATGACGTATTACCTTGCAAATGTTTATTTTTTCTAGGATGTTCGAGAACTCAAGGTTTAATTTGAGATGTTTGAGGACGCTAATAATAACATAATCGAACGCGTTTGCAAGCGGAAACTGCCGTTTTAACTCCAACTGCTGTAGGGGACACAGTAGGCGAAATTCATATTTTGTATTTTACAGAATTCAGTATTTTACAATCAAGAAACATGAGTATGTCGGTTTATCATACCTATGTCAGTTTTGGTGCCTCTCCTCCAGCGCCGACTCGAGGAAAATGAATCGGAGAATGATTTTCCTTCACGCAGGTAGAATTAATTCGTGAAATAATTAGGGAATCAGTTGCCGGTCGCTGAAGTAACTAACGGCACGTTTGCTGCGTATAACAACCGGTGGCTCGCGATTAATTAACGCGGGAGGCATGTTTGGCGAGGGCTGAGATAAAAGGGTGACTTGCGCCGGGCTAAAATCCGATTTGGTCGCGAGTGATGTGGATTCGACAAAACAGCGTTAACAATTTATGGAGGAAGTATCGACCCGGACGAAAATGTTATAAACTGGTGACGGTCGGGTCGTAACGCGTATACGCGAACATATACGCGAATGTGAACGCGATCAAATCGCGCGTGTCGCGCGCAGTCCGCATACCGTGGCAAGTTTTACACAATTTTCTGTTAAGGACTTTTATCGTGATGCAATTTACCCCGAAACGATACGCCGTAGACTGTATGGCTTGTAAATTTTGTAACAGCATAACAGCGCGACACACCAGTTGCGTGCGCGAAGCGAAACAAAATCCGACTATAACGCGGCTTCCAATCCTGGACTCTTCCAAATCCTTTTTGCGAAACAATACGAAGTAATGGCCGTTTATCGGTGCTTTTGTCGTGGACGGGACTTCGAACGACAGCTGGATAAATCTTCGCTGATACAATACGGATCGTTTTGTCGTATTGATCAGTTTTTACTTGTCCGAAATTCGGAAGAGAGCTGCGGAAGAGAGGGACTGAAACACGCGGCGTGTGATTATACGATTCGCAGATAATACCGAGAGACGCAAAATTTCACGTTTTATCTGTGACGACGACGACGTAACAGCGATCGCGTATCGTTATTGAGAAGAGAAGCTTAACTGCGAAGGCGGCCGGTTGTTTGGAGCGCGGTAACCGCAGGAAATCCATGAAATTGGCAGTTGCGATTAGTCCGGTCGGGTCGAGCCAAGTTTTAATTAAACCACCTCCAGACCGTGGAGATAGTGTTGGGAATAAATGGGAATGGATGGATGGAATTGAAACGTTCCGAATTCACGCCGGCGGACTTCGAATGCCGTTGGCGTGTCGCGCGCGAAAGTATTGTTGCGGAAATTCATTCCGACGAAGAAAAATTCCGGCGCAATCAATTTTTCATCACATTTTCGCTATATTTTTATTCGTTCTTTTCCTTAAACTTTTTTGTAAACTAACTGTGAACTAACTGTGAACTAATCGCGGAAACATGCGTTTGTTACGCAATGCGTATTGTGATATACATTTATATTATTTTATAAAAGTTGTTTCTTTGTTTTTTTAATATCTCTTCCCTCCGATGTTGGTCGTGGTAACGCAGTTCGGAATGATTAATTCAGTATTTTATACCGTCATCATTCGCTTGAAACATTCGAAACCACACTATACGATATGGTCTACCTTCTCGTTACATTGAATATACATTGACGAACCTTTTCGCCATAAATTTCTGAAGATATTTATCTTTGTCATTCGAGTGCATTTAAATCCCGGTTCTTGTGGTACCAGCCCGGCACCTGACCACCTCACTCTTACGTTATTAATTACGATCATGTAAATACCGTAAGTGCAAAGTCATCGCAACATAATAGCAACTCGATATATTCCCAATGCTAGAACTATAAGCCCCTCCAGAACCTCCGGCGACTTCTTACGTATGTCGTTTTCTTTGTGACGACGCTGTGTGACGTCATAATGTACGAGAAGCAACATCTTTCATCCCATTTTTCATCCACTCCCGCTGTCACTCGAGAGCCGTAGATTGTATATCCTCCCGTAAGAAGCACGATCGTGAAGAATCTCTTTTCTCACCCTCCATTACGATGACTGATAAATGACATTCGCCCACGTTCGTTATCGGGACATCCTGCGACACGGTTTCCCCATCGTAATTTTATTCGCACGTTCGCGCACCGCAAGACTCACGTTCGACCGAGCGACGTATCGCGCTACAGATAGACAAAACGTGAAGTGAGATCATGAAGAGAAAGAACGAATTCTCATGAAGGGAAGAAATAAAATGTGCGAACAAATGTTGCGTAAACGATTCTTTGTCGTCAGGTTGCTGGGAAAATAATTGCCGATATCAGTCTGTTATTACTATCGACCGCTCGTTCATTTTAATCTGATTTCGTACACGATAAATGTGCTATTTTGACATAAATATTCATTTCTTATCGGTTTCACCGCTATACATTTTATATCACCTCGTAATTCACACACTGCCGATGACGTTTCGTTGAAATTTAATCGTCTCCGTTATGAATTCCTATCGCAGAGCGATCGGTCATTGTTTTCCAATTGACCTAGTACAACCAAAATATATGCAACGATGTAATACAAGGGTAGGAAGGCTCCATGGGAATTTCATTAGCCTCTACTAATACGAATTATATTGATCTAAATATCCACAGATCGGCTACACGGGGAGAGCGGATACATGAGCAGCCCCGAGCGCGGCGGCGGGGTCGGTTCCGGAAGCGGAAGATACCCACCCGGGCCTTACAGCACCGGCAGCAGCTACGAAGACCCGTATTACTCGCAATATTCGGGAACTGTTACTCCCGTTATCGACGAAGAAGCCAGGTAACCGGAGTTCCGCACACTTTCGGAATAACGACCCGCCATCGCACGCACTCGCAACCCTACATAACAATCGAAGAAAGAGACGGTGATGTCGTTATAATAAACGAGATTTCCGTACTTCGGACCTTACAGGGTATCCTAATCACACGTTCATATCTACCTGCGGTCCTTGATTGATTTCACGTTTGTCCAAGGCCTGTTAATAATTGTGCGAATCAAGATTCGAAAAGAACGATGAAAAGTAATTTTATTATTCGTCTGTAAATATTGATTGACTTTATTTCAATAGAGTTCATTTTGTTAGACGTGTTTTCACTGTAAACATTTAAATCTGACAAAACGTTGCGGAGCATTTACGTATTTTCGCTAAAAACAACTGTAAATACGGACCCGCGTAGGTAAAGCGTGGAGAATCCGGGATACTCTGTATATATGTAAATTCCACTAGGGAAACAGTTACATAATTTATCCGATTGCAACGAGTATTGGCTGTCTCATCCTATCAGAATCCATTTTCGCCCATTTTCAATTCATTTCCAATGTATTTTCAAACATGGATTTTCGATCATACTATAGAAGCATCCGCTCATATAGAATATATTTTTCATTTTGAATAAATACATCGGAATTAGTCGAGCTTACATTAAACAGTCGATTACAATGTTGTCAACAAACGGGGCCGTCGACAATGGGTGTTCCGTTACGGTAAATTATATTTCCGATTAAATCAATTAACGCGTGTTAATTAGTCGCACATATATGCAACGTTCTTAATGAAACAACTTTAATTAACACATTTTCGGTTTAACGGAAAAATCTGCACTTTATTCCGATTCAAGATGAGACTTTCGAATAAAGCGAGGAACGTTACACCCTCTCGGCGTATGCTCGCCGATACACACAAGGGGGAGATGCAAAGACGAATAAGCTTCTCGTCAGATCACGAGAACTTATTCCAGTAATTAATTATTTATTCACCAGCTTGCATTTCTTTCCGCAAATCGCTCCCTACACATCCCTCGTCCATCTCCTCTCTCGCTCTCTGCACTTCGAACATATTCGCGAATTTTGCAAGCAGTGAGAAACCAAGAATTGATAATACACCCTCTTCCCTCGTAAAAACACCGAGGCATCGGGAATACAATTATTACTTCATGACGAATAACTTCGAGCCGCGATTTCAGACAGTCGCATTTAATAGACCAACCTTTTTTTTTTACCAGCGGTCTTTTCTAAAGAGATAAAAATGCCGCTTCGCGACATATATAAAAACCGTCCCACTTCTAGTCTCATAAATCCAAGCGATCGTAACTCTCCGTCTTGCTTGTCCGTCGCTCTAACAAGCCTCTCGACATCGTTTCAACGCGAGGATCATTCCGAATCAGAATCTCGGCTGATCGCCGATTATGAACACGAGCGGAGTGCGAAGAGTTGAAGCCCACGATGACCCTTCCCTCCTCCCCTCCTACCCATCCACACGCCGACCATGTCTCTCGAAAGACGCCGTAAATTCTGCGGCGCTTTTCCACGCACGCCTTATACACTCCGGCTGAATAAATTCCGTTCACCCGGAGAGAGAAAAGCCCTCCCAGTAGCCTTTCTCCTCCTCCCTCGCGAGCAACCCCAGTGTACGAGCAAAACGATGTCACCACCACCACCACCACCCCCGTTCCGACCGGCCCTGATCTGGTCTTCGCCCAACTGCCGCCAGTTAGATGTCTGATAGCGCGGATGTGTATGTCTGTTGTGGGTGGTGCAGCGATACGGAGCTGTTGGAGGAATCGTACAGCCTTTACGGCGTGAAACCACCGGGGCGTCCGCCGTCTGGTCCCCCGCGGTCCCCGTTTCCTCCGGGTGCACCACCCCCTCTGCCACCCGGCGGACAGAGCTACGACGCTACTCGGTACTGCACCCACGCACACACACTCTGTCGCCTGCGTGTTTGTCTTGCGTAGAGGCCTGCCTGCCTGCGGAATCAGAGGGAGTGAAAGAGAAAAGAGAGCAAGATGTAAAGAAAAAAAAGAAAGATAGATACAGGGAGACGTAGGGAAAGGGGGAGAGAATAGAAACTAAGAACCAGGCTGGCTGGTTGGATGGCTGGCTCTGACTGGATGCTTGCGAATGAGTACGAGTTGCACGAGTGTCGTTTTGAAGCGAGAGCCCCTGGGACGCGTAATAGCGGCGAATCCGGATCGCCATTGGCAAAAATCTCCCAGGATCCCCCGAGCAAATATGCCTCGGTGGTTTTCGCTTGTAATTAGGAGTGGGATTCGGTCACGTTTCTTCTGATACCGTGTACCGTACGTGTATTCTGATATCGTCTCAACGCCGGTCGATCCTGACAAACAATCAGCCGTCTTTGGCGGCTGGGAACTTGGCTAAAAAATCGCGCCACACTCAATTTAAGACCATTCAGGTAATTCCACTTTGCCACTTTGTGCCTGGATTCGCCGCTGAAGCGGAGATGGATACGTTCACACGCGGTCGTTCGTTGACTAATCAGAATGAAACTGTGGCAGTGAAACGACGAGAGAACGGCCGAAACAAATTTCTTGTTACCCAACGATCACAAACCGGGCATTTGTTCATTCCCGGCGGCTGGAATTTGAGGGAAATTTTAAATTTCATTGCTGTGCGAAGTTAATAATAAAATTTAAAGGAAAATAAAACCTTACACACGAAATATTCTTTTTCTTTTCGGAATAAACGTTTAAATTGCAGTATTTTGTGCACAAAGCTTTATTTCAGTTTTAGTGAACTAACTTTGGCGTCGAAAGGATCACGTATGCATTTCGCGTGATATCAAAAGCATAACATTTGTGATAGCCGTTGAAAATTAATAATTGGACTAAAAACGTGTCCCTTTGTCATAATGGAAATTTGTCACAAATACAGAATGATTGCCAATTAAGTTTTTCGTCATTTCGAGGTTACGCCACACTATTAATAACGTATTCGTTTGTACGACGAACGACACGTAATCTCGTACAAAAATCTGCACATTGCACCACAGAGGATTGGATATTTCTGGCCGTAAAATTACACTTCGAAGTTTAGATGTTAAAATACAGTATTGACCGGTATCCATCGCTGCTCAATTACAGAGAACAGTAGCATCATCCAAATCAAATGCTCATTTTTTATTTCCTATTTGTGCAATGCAAACGATATATTTCCATCGTGTTTGCCTGACGAATAGCATTCGCAAAATTTACACCGATGTTTCATCGGGTTCCCATTGCGGCTCTTGTCGCGCGATCGAGCCATTTCACTGCGAAACTTGCGGAATTCTCGCGCGGAGAGCTATCCAGCTAGATTCAGAAATTCGTCGTTTCCGAGCTAATCCGATTATGGGACAAATGTAACGCGTGCATATTCGCGGAATTTCAATTTCGCCGAATCAAATTGGAACACTAAACGATCTCCGCTCGTAAATCTTCCATTGTCCATCGAGAGCTCGATGAGATCGACGGTGGGATTTTCATATTTATTTTATATTTTATAAGACAGATTTTTTTACTTTTATCAAGAGAGATAGGACGCTGCTATGCTCTTCTTTTACACGAAGCGGGTCCATGCCGAATCGTCTGCAAGTGCATGTTGTAGCATACGTCAGGCATCTCGATCGAGTTGTCGCGAGAGAGACGCCACTGCCAGTCTCGTCGGGTCATGCCGCCTCGCGCGGGGGCAAAGTGGGATCGATCGGTGGCACGATTTTAACGGATCTGCACGTGAGAGGCAAAGAAGAGAGTGAAACGAAAATTGTCCGAAATTGCGGAGTGAACGAAAAAATTGAGCAGATATTTTCCACTTCTCTTTTGTTCTTCGGGATCGATCTCCGCCCCCTTTTCGATCGCACACCGCCGATCCCGCCACACTGTATATTACATATCCATCTTAGCGCGACGTCCATATTTTCCGGGACGCCTTATGTATTATATACGCGAGATACCAAATACGCTCTGTATCGCTCGAAAAACAAGATGTGTGTGTGTGTGTGTGTGTGTGTGTATATATATATATACTGTATGTATAAATATTTTCAATGTGACTCGAATAATATGTATGATATATAGAAGTGTAACTTGCAACCTCGGTGGAATGCAGCATGCCGACTAGCGATCGTAGACGAGAATGCATTGGTCATATACAGGGTGTTTCAAACATATCACGGAAGAAAAAAATGAATGGATAATTATCAACACCACGCCCGGGATGAAATAAACGGCGTATCGGAGCTACCAAATTCTCGACGATATTCATCCCGAGATCAAAATAATACACAGTTAAATCGAGTGATCGCTATGTCAGCGGTACATCGTCCATTTCATATTATATTTATACGCAATTCTGAATTTTACGTAGTGCAATCTCACGTCGCCGTACTTTGTCGCGTAATTATTCTCTCGCACTCTTGAGATTCTCATCCGCGATACGTCTTTGTTAGTACCGAAAGTGTTCAAGAACATTCGCCAGCGCTCGTAAAAAACTTTCTAGACAGAATTGATATTGTTTGATGGAACGAGGTTTCACATTAGAGAGAAAGAGAGAAAGAAAGAGAAAGAGAGAGAAAGAGAGAGTGGGAGAGAAGAAACCGTAGCCCGGATGTACTGGACGGGTCCGAAACTCACTTTATCTCGCGCAACTTGGCGCAAGAGTTATCACACCCGAAATTGATCGAGCCACGCGCACGAAAATCTTGCAGCCGATTTCATCCGCGCCGCGTATATCACATACATCACCCTGTATATCATTTTATGTACGTAATGTCACCGTGACGTAGATTGGGCACCGCTGTCACTTGTCATGCGAAACGATAGATGCACGTGATTAGCATCGTGTTATGTAACTCATATCCGTTTTCACCGATGGGAAACACGCTCGGGATGAAGTTTTCAGGCGTCGGCGTGTGCGCATCCTCGACGAGAGTCGTTTCGCGTCCTCTCGGTGAAAATGGATCTGTACAGAGTCTATGGTCTATTTTTATTGTCAGAGTATGTCTCTCGCGATGCCGCCGCGCGCTCGCACACACACGCGATGTCTCGCTATAGGTCGAATGGTGCCATTAGATTACAGTAAGAAAAGTAGCAGCTGAGTAAAGTATATTATTGACTAAATATGCGGAAACGTTCCACGGGAACACGCGATGCGAGTGTATGAGATGTGTGTGTTATTAATATCGCTCGTATTTGACACACCATTGATCGCTCAATCGATTTACGCTTCTCTTTTTCCGTGAAACTATATTACAACACCGTTGTAATCATCAAATTGTAATCATCATTTCACGATATTCAGCTTACCACAATCATAATCATCATCAGCATTATAATAACGTCAATAAGAGAGCTTTACATATATCAAATTTCGTTTGATGCCGAAACCATTAGAATCGAATTGTTCTATAAATTATTTACCTATTAATTTAGATATTTGCGACCAATTACGCGCGTGTTATTCGTGCTCGCAACTGAGATAAAAATCTAAGCAAAGATTAAAGTATACACGACCCAATATTTTACAATTGCAAACAATCTTTTGCGTTATTGTAAGAACGCCGTTTTAAATCGAGTTGGTCAATTCGCATCTGATGAAAACCAGACAGTCTTTTTATCGCGCTTCTAACGAGTCACATTCGCTTCACTTGGGCGTGCGAAATTGTTCAAGAAGAGACACACCGCGATATGCGATAAGTATTTACTTAAACTGTGATTCGTCCGGAATATTTACGTTATTCGCCAAACGAGAACATAAGCTCCTAACTGTCCTCGCTTTTAGAGCGACGGACGTTTGCTAAATCGACGTTACTACTCCATTCTTTGACCTGCGAACTATTTGTCACAGGATAAGGGTGGAACACATGGAAAGACAACTGGCCAACCTGACCGGGCTCGTTCAAAAAGCTCTGACGCACGCACCGCACACCAGCCCTTCGCCGCGAGAGTACTTGCAAGTCCCGCCAGGACGTGATCCCTACACAAGAGCCGCAGGTACGTGTTCCGCTAAGCTCTCACGCGGGTTCACTTTCTTCCTGGGTTCTCTTTCTATACTTTCTATTTCACCGTCACGATAACAGCATTTTCCTTGGTTATTCTGTTCTGTTCATTACGATAACACGAGACTCATCTCGAATGTAACAGAGATGAATCATGTTTTCTTCGTTTTTCACGGATGTTATCTGCAATACAGCGCAATCTTTTTGGAAAGATTCCCTTCGCAACAATTCAGCAACGATGATGGGGGTGTTTAAGGGTTTTTTTCCGTTACAGCGTTCAATACTTAATGGCTCATAAATGCTGTCTACCGCCCATTAGCGGGGTTTCGGGGGGTCGGGAAAAATAAATTATATCTTTGTTTCCCGGGAAGTAATATTCGAGTTGAAAGATTGTCAATATTAAATATTGACAACATTCGAAGGGTTGTTGTACAAGTTACAAGTTCCGAATACTTTAACGGAAATAGACTGAAATCGTCAACCAACGCGCAAAGCGACCACGCGTTCAGTTGCAGATAATTTCAATGAAAATTACATTATTAAATTATCATCGTCATTCTTTTAAGCAGAAGTCACTGTCGTCATATAGTTTAATAGTTTAACAGTTTAATACTAGGGATTTTTGTCTCGCCGAAGATATTCGACGCGTTTTAGCGACGCCGCTCTCTTGGTTCATTTCCCTCCCGAACGTTTCATTGCTTATTTTACAGAAAAAACTAGCGCATTCACTTAATTCACTAAGATAGTTTCAGCTAAGAAGCATACGAGACTGCTAGACCCCACATTAAGTAGCCTCTACTAACATTCATCTGTCCGTTTCATCCGTGCCTGTTCATCTATCCACTTCATCGTCTTTCAACCACTTTCAGACATCTCGAAACTACGGTTCTTAGTAACATCATCCATGCCGAAAACGCATCGGGAACGATAGTTGATAGAAACTGAATCGGGCGATCACGTCGATATTTTTTTATCAGACCGCCATGTCAATATTCACGATGTAATCGTAATAATTAAACATAGAGAAATGCAAACGAAATGTAAGCGCCAAAGAGACATTTTTGTTGAAGTAATTGCAGGAAGATCCTCGTATTATCAGAACTATAACCGTACGGAGGAAATAGTAGTGAAGTATAGAAGTAAATAGATAAGAAGAAAAGAATTTGCTTGTGTATTATATCATAATGAAAATTCGGAAAGAGCATACTAGTATAAATAATTGGCGAAATTGTTTGGCGCACGCATGTTTTGTGTTTCCAGTCTACGAGTCGTGATAAACCGCCGTGGTCGCCTTCCGGATAAGCCAAAATTCACCGAAACGACACAACCTTAGATATAAACGTGCATACATATATGTTGCATACATACATGCAGATATACATATATATTGGAAGATTTTATGCCGTGAGCTACGCGCCAGCAACAATATGCCATATGTCATATTCAGCGTGTTTCAAAACCGCACGAAAGCTAGAGAATATTCGGGCGTATCGCTAAATAGCGCGGTATTCGGAATGTGCATCGATACCGTGCCGGGGTGCTGTGACATTAATTTATTATATTAAACAATGCAGCGAGCGGAATATGCGGAATGTCACAAACGACGGTCTTCGCACGTTTTACGCGAATTCGATAACACCGGGGATGCAAATTTTCCGCATTAGAGGATCAGCTCTCAGCCATCACGGTCAAAGTTGAATCTGATAACTATTATATCGCGACTAGATTTCTTTCTATTTATCGCGAAGTGACGAGACATTTTGAGAAGCGGAGTCGACCCTCTTCCCAATCCTCGATAATATTAGTTATTACATCAATTTTGCACGAAATACAAACTAAAGCCGCTGTAACAGTAACGTTAACAACGGTTGCGAGTCACAATTAAAAAAAAAATATTATTCTCAATCAACGAGATATTCGAGAGCTTCGTGAAATCAACTTTGTCAGATCGCGTTTGTCGGGGACACGTGAACGACGTGTTCGCAAAAATATTCGTGCTTGGAAACTTGCCATGTATTCGAGGACGTCAAGTTTGATTAGCGTAGTTTTCGACGGGGGTCATATAGTTGCCCAGCGATGTAGCCTCACGGACTGAATTCTCCTGAAATCCTGCTGTACAACTGCTTTGTTATTCCGACTAACGCACACACCAGGCGCCGGGGACGAGTTCGACAAACACTCTAGCTCCAGCTCTGCCTCACTGCCAGGTGTGTCTCTCATCTTCTTCTATCTTCTATTCACCTCCGAATCACTGTTTAACCGCTACTTATATATATATATATTATATTTATACATATGTTTATACATATATATGTATATATACATACATTTATATATGTATATATCACGGTCTCTCTTTATCTATTTTTACATATTTATTTACATATCTACATATACACATATATATATATATATATGTGTATATATTTTTAACGTTGCCTTTATCTCTATCACCGTTATAATAAAACGCGTGTCCTTTAAAATTCAAGTGTCTCAACCTGCCGTTACAGATGACTCGTACTTAAGGACTGACGTTAAACCGCCAAAATTAGGCAAAGGTGCGCTTCAATATATGTTTCTTTCTTACATGCACTTTCGAATGCTCGCTGTATCGCCGCCTCCCTCACCCTCCTGCGTTATCATCGTCGCACATGTGTCGCATATTCACCCCGACCGTTCGCACTCGAACGAAATACCGCCTTGGTATTGCGATATTTTGCCGATGACGATGAGAATCCGAGTAATATCGCCGACAATTTCGACAAACCCCGTTAAGTTCGGCCTTCACTTGTGATGTCCTTCGTCACTTCTTTAAATTCAATGTCCGACGATATTCAAATCGCGCGTGGTTGTTTCTCTTCCGGTTGATTTCCTTTTGGTTCGCCGTGGTTTGAAACGCCGCTCTGAAAGGGGCAATTCACTCCGCCGGCCGTTTCTCACGACACGCCATATTTCCTTGCAATCAGCTTCGATTTTCGTTTGCACGGTGCACACGCTAAGGTTTCCGCCACTCCACGAATCGTTTGAGCCAGCGCCGGCTTCAGGGCTGACCCGGAAGAACGGTTATCTCGAAATTAGGACTCACGAAGTGTCCCGCGCGATATATCGTGTTGTAATTCGAAACATATCTCGGGACCCACTCGACTTTGAAACTAATTCAAATGACAAAAAAAACCGGTGTTTCGCACAACACAACCGATCTCATCTTATATTTGCAACTTTTCTTCAATTTTTCTTATTATAACTTCCAATTGGGATGATGTTCGAGTGAAAGAGGGGAGGGAGGGCCGTGGAAAAGCTCCGTTGAGGGTTCCGGGTATTGTATTTTTATGCCCCTAAAGCCGAGGCTGGTTTTACCCACCCTACATGCGTCACGCACACTTTATCGAGATCCGTCCGAACGCACACGTTCTTACGTACACGCTTCTTACGCTTGACGCACATGTACCACGCAAAAATATGCTGATCAACATCTATTCCAGACAAGTCGGTGTCGTTTGAAAAGTCAGTGTCCTTCAGTGACGAGCCACCAGACATGAACTCCCCCAAACAGCATTCCCCGCAACATGCAGGTAACGGCTAGCGCACGTCACGTAAAACGCAAAATGTATGCTAAGCACGCTGTAAGGCCAGAATACCGAGTTACATGTTGTTAGATCACCCGTCGAGGAAGTGGTAGACGGTTTATCCGGGCGCCCCAGCGTTGCAGCGCGTCTCAGACGAGAAAAGTTGTTTTTTTTTATTTTACGGTGACTGCTGTAAAATAAAAATGTTCGTTTTTTGATGCTTTGCGATGTCGGATGAGTGTTGATGTCAAAGCCACCGTGTCGCTCGAAACTTCCTCGCCGGCAGGTTCCCGCTCGCGTAAGTAAATGGAGTGAATGACGTCCGCGTTCAATTAGCGACAATTAAAGGAGTCAATCTTGTCGTGACGACAAGATTAACAATGCCGACCTCTTCTTGCTGAAAATTGCGCTGGAACGGACGTGGCGACCCTTCGAGAAACGATACGGCGAAATATCGCACTGTGATTGTCCAGTTTTGCAACGGGCAGGAATCGGATGCAGATTTGCCGTGGGATATTATCGAGGAACGCATTCGTGTCCGATGCCGATTGAGATCGCCGGTGAATGGAAAGTGGCCTGTAATCGTCGGAATCTGCGTTCCCGTTTATCAAAATCTTGCCGAGCTCTCATTCGCGAGTCATACTCGATTTCGTCGCGCCGTCGCGTTAAAGGTTTACCCGCGTTTACGTAACATACTCAACAAACTAACACAATCACAGGCGAGGGATTGTTTCTGACAATCCGCAACATCGGATATTTCTCCATATCTTTCTCTCCCTCCCGATATCGCTATTCCGCCACTTCCTGTGACCACTGTACAGCGAATCTGTCGGATATCCGGAGTGTACTGCTCTATTCGCGAATGTTATTTAGTTATAAGGGAATTCAGTCTAATCGAAGGAAGATCTTTCTGAGAGCGAATGGATATTTACGATAGAATGTCCGATCCTCTCGCGGTATAACGAATACTAACGCAATAATCTCTAACGCCTTCTCGTACGATTCTGCAATGCCTACCACGACTAGCGGACACAAAACCTACGAAACCGGCAATCAAATCCTCCACGTTGCCGAGGATGTCGTCGCAAGGTAAAGCTTTCCCCGTGTTTCTACTAGGGGTGGGAACTGTTCGAAACACTTGGGTCTGCTCGAAAATGTTCTATTTCAATTGTTATTGCGTTTATCATTATTATTTACTATCATCGTATATCTACTTTTATCATTGTTACGTCACGTCACCTGTTACTTTTTAAGACAAATTTCTTTTTCATTTAATTTTCAATTGTTTCTTACTCGCACAAAATCTTCTGCCATGAAATATTCGTATCCTTAAAAGCAGCTTTTAAGTACGTCCCTACGATGTGAAACATGGAAAGGACTTTCGCGTCACGGCAATAACGCTCGGATATCCGAGTGGCATCCAATATTTGGTGGAGATTTTTTCGAGAAATCCACGGATGTTGTGCCGCGATTCGAGCAGTTCCAGCCCCCGATATCTACGCTTCTCCCCTATGTGTCACGCTGTGTCCATCGTATTTGTGTGTTACTCGTAATCAGCGTCATTCCAAGTCTTTGATACGATCTTCCGTCGTTCCGTTTCGAGCCTTATTGATTTGTGTTCCTCGTCCGCCCTGGGGCGACACTGTACGGAGGACACCGGAAAATTGTAAGTCCACTTTCAAATAAAAGCCGAGACGAGCGTAGCTGGATTAAACGGATTAATGTGTTCGTTTCCATATAAATCGATTTTCAAGGTATGCCGTGCGAGGAGGGCGACGGGTTTAGTCCAGGCGGAACGGGGAAATAACGAGTAACGAGTTAATCAAGCGCTATACAGAGAGAATTTGCATGGTTCTCTTTTTTTTTTTTTAACGCAAAACTCATCGAAATCACATAAAGTCTCTCACCTCGCGGAAGTTGCTCTCCCGGAAAATCTCGCGCTCCGTATCTGTCACACTCACGTTCGGCAACTACCGGCGTTGACATTCGCTCGATGGACCGAATGATGGGATCCCCTTTCGTCTCCTCTCCTCTCTCTCTCTCTCTCTCTCTCCCCGTGAAAATTGCATCGTGCGCGAGAAGCGGAAAAATCGCGCGAGCAAGAGAAATTCGCAGCTTCGGAAGGAGAAATCTCTCGAATTCGACCGGTACTTCAAGTCACATCGGCCGACGATGGAGACGAGACGCGACTGTGCTCTTTTCTACGTGTCCATCATATATCACCGCATTTTGACGAACGTCCAAGTTATCTCAAGGACGCTTCTCACGGGCCGTAGGGACATCATGCGTCTCTCCGCGCGAGACAATTCGCGTCGCCTTGTTTCGCGAGACATTTGTAACGAATACCGTTTCTCCGCGTTCCCGTTCGATGTCCGCGCTCGCTCGTGTTCTCGAAATATCGCGCGATTTCGTTGCTCCCTCACACAATCTCTCTCTCTCTCTCTCTCTTTCTCGATGTGTCTCTCTTTGTCTCTCTTTCTCTTCTTCAGACCGAGCGATACATCACGGCTGCATATCTGCCGGCGCCGATCGCGCGAGAAGAGCGTCACGATATCCGTCTTACCACCGGCCCCGTGCGCAGCTCCTCGTAAATTCATCCTTTATTCATCCGATTCCCGGTCGGCGGGGCGTATTTTTATTTGTCCCGCCGGAACGACGTTGCCTGTCACTGTCGCTCGTATCATGAGATCGGTTCACTTGGTATTGTCCCGCGAAACATTTGTCGTGTTCTGCGACGTGAATTTGTTTCGCGCGCGAACGCACGCTCACGCCAAGATGCACCACCGGTCGAGAAAGATCATATCGGATAACTCGGCTCTTCGTGCGTGCAGACCCGCATAATTGCCTTCACATATGATACCTGATTATTAACTTCTCCAGAGCGCGTATTTCTTACATCGAGAGGAAAAATATCTAAAGAGTAAAAAATATTTATTCGGTGCCCCGTTGGGAACTTCCAAGTGGATCGCCACGGAAATCCAGGGGAGTCACATGCGAATCCATATAGGATATTAAAAATCCATGTAGGAGATTGATCCAGCATTGAAGGTCCATGTAGGCACTCATACGGACTGTTACATAGAATTTGGGTTTCTCGCGCGAATCCCCGAGGGCAATCACGGGGAGACTCCATATGGATTCCCGCTTGATTTCTCTCGATAGAATTGATACTGATAACAGATTTAATAATATATTCACCTGAGTCTGAATTCCTTTGTTTAAGTGGAACATTTATTCAATCGATATACACATTTTTATACACCGGGGGAAAAAATGATTTCTTTCAAATGAGAAAATACACATTTCCTTAAATCTACAGCTTTGCACGAAGGCAATCGTTTGTTCTGTTTGAACAAAAGAATTTAGAGAGAAATTTTAACAAACTGTTATCGTTGCACACCCGCCGAATAAATACCTTTCATTCTTTACATATTTCTCTCTCAACGTATGCAGGAAAAAGGAAACTCTGTTCCAGTAATTGATTTTCTGCCGGGGACCGGAGTAAAACTCGGTTGGTGGGAACAGAAAAATTTCCGCGGGATACCTCCATTCAATCGCACGTCCTCAGTTATCTCGATCGGGTTTTAACGCGGCCGAATGTTCAGACGATTGTTTTCGATCCAGCGATAACAGAGGTATCGGTTCCTCTCTTTCTCTCGTCGCCGGTTTCTGCGTCCCCCTCTTTCTGTTGCACGAGACATTTTTTCTCGTCCGTTTGCTCGACGTTCTAAAACGTCGCGCAATTCAGCGGGTTAAGGCTGTTACGCCGGTCTGCGCACACATTATTCCGACGTCACTCACGGATCATACACGGAGTCATTCACGCACAGCGGGACGCATCACGCAGAGAGCATACCGTAATATACGCATACACGCACACCCGCTCCTTCACTTGAAGTATCACCAGACAGCGATATTTTCATCCGCCCGGTTAGGTCATCCGTTTTATCCTTCTTCCGCTCCTGCCTTTCGCCATCCGCCCAATAAAACCGCGGGCAATAAAAGTGACAGTAAAATTGTGTTGTCGCCGACCCGTTTAACCGTCCTGTCCTCTCATTACCGGGGCCCGCTCTTCCATCGTGCGAAACTGTTACGGCAAGGCGATCGATCAGCGACAACGAGCGGCGAACGTCAAATCTAATCAGCCGATCGAGCCGCCGCCGGCCGTGTTACTCGAAATGTCGGCGACGAATCGTTTGTGTCGCAGCGCAAGGCAAGCTCCATGCTTGACGAGAAATGCGATGCGATATGAATAGGGTACATTCCGGTACGCAATTGTTCGCCTTTCGACGTACGGCTGAGAAAAATGCATGAAAGATAGACGTTTGTTCCGATTTCGCTTACCGGTTTCGGAAAAATAGCCGCCTATACCTGGAATCGAGAATTCCAGCAAAAACGCCCTCTCATCGACTTTATTGGACTTTTCTATTTTCTTTTTTTTTTAATTTTTTCAATCACTTCAATCGCATTTCTTCGTGCGACGTTCGCCAACCGCGTTGCTCGCTGCTCCGAAAGTTTCCCGTCGGAACGTTCTTCCCACGGTGGAGGAAATGGTATGAGCCCTACGCGAGCTTAAGTCCTTAAGTGTGTTCGCGCAAGTCCGCCAAAAAGTCCGGGAGCAACGCGGGGCTCTCACGCGTGTTGAACGAACATTTGCAGAACGGGACAGGCACAAGCCGACGCCACCGCCGAAACCGGCCGCGTTGGTGACCGGCCAATACGTCTACAGGGACTTGGCGCTCACGCCGGAGATGTACAACCAGCTGAGGGGTCTGCAGAAGAAGGCGAAGGACCTCAGGCAGGAAGTGAGGAACCTCAGGCGTATGTCGCAGGCACAGGCTCACACAGTGCGAGAGACCATCAGGGACACGTTCATCACGATCAGGTATTACGAATGCGCCCTTCGGCGAGCGAACGAGCTATTTCGCAAAAACGGGTAAAAATGGGCGGCACCAGGAAGTGAGACTATAATATATTTATATTTTATATATCTTTTATATATGTTATATTTTTGTAGAGAAGTGTATGCGCGTAAATTTTTCATTTAAGGAAAACTGCTCCTCACTCGGTCAAACTAAACTTACGGGCCTTTAGGAGCAGAGCACGGATTTTTTATTTGCCATTAAATGTTAATATTGCTAATATTAATATTTTTATGGAAGGATGTAATGCTTGAGTATGTATTATCGTACTCGGAATATTCTCCGCTCTGCGTGGAGAATTTAAAAATGTTAAGCTTACTCTTTATATCTATCAATACGTGATTCTCCCAATTAACTCAACCCAGAAAAATTATTATTTTTAATTTACACTAAACGTTGTGAAAAATACGATAACGCACATTCAAGCATTACATTCTCCGACAAAATATATAAAAAAAAAAAAATATTAATATCTAAAAACCCCAAATATTCCGTGCTCTATTCCCAAAGGCACGTCAACTTTAATTTTAAACTTCCGACGGGATTTTAAAGACCAAAAAACAAAATGTTATATCGATTTTGGTGCGTTTCCTCTATTATCGTCGGATTATTATTAAAATGATATCGCCGGATGATTTCTCGAACGTTGTCCGTAAATGACACGATTGTGGGATAGCTCGCGTGTTCTCCGAGTTCTCAGTGATTTCGATTGATATAACTGACCGTTTGATTGGCGCCGCAGGGCAATGCTGTTGTCGGGCGGAGACGCGGCTTGGACGGCCGGTGACGCGGAGAAGATTCGACTGAGCCGCGAAGAGGATCTCTACAAGCAGGAAATGATAAGGCTGGAAAAAGATCTCACGTGAGTATCGCGGCTCCGCCGCGTGGACGGCGGGAACAAGTCGCGCTGACGAACGCTTGCGAATTTCAGCGAGCTGGAGAGTACCGTGGAGGAGCTTCGCGGCAATGTGATCAATAGAAAGACGCGTGTCAATATGTCGGATGTGGAGAACATGGCTTTAATATTGAGTAAATCCAGGTAAGCCGAGCGCGCCTCGTCCGATAGAGTCGGTTCCGCTCGAGCGGGACGACGCTGTCGTCGCGTCGGACGCTCGTGTCCGTTACGTACCGGCTAACAGCGAGCCTCTCGTATCAGTTACTCGATGATTTAATCGCTCGACGACTGAACGTTTCTCTCCTTCTTTCCCCTTCCTCCAGCAAAACCGTGGCCGACTTGAAAGTGCGGTTTCCAAGTTTGCAAGAGGGCATGAAGGGTCTGCTGAGCTCCGAGATGGAGAAGGTGGTGCGCGAGGAGAAGTTCCTCAAGGAGGAGCCCGAACGACTGGAGTCCGCGTTGAGACGTTGCAAGAAACTGACCGGCACTCTCGTGACGCTCAAACGGTACGACCCCTCGTTATCGAAGCACGCCGCAGTGGTGCCGCGAATTCCGCAAACCTTTCACGGCGAGCGGGCGCATATCTCTCCCTCTGAAAAGTCATTGGAACAGTCGTAAGAAAGAAGATACGTCAGATATCGGTTCGTGGCGCTGTTAAAATAAGTCATGCACCCCCTTTGATATTCGATATGACGGCAACCAGGTCGAGGTGCAATCTGCGCCAGCAGCAACGTTACAAGGAAAGAGAGCACGTAGTTTCTCAGTATCGGAGACCCACCGGTAACAGGCTTTCCCTCTCGAATGACGAAACTCATGACCGTCTTTCGGTTTTCTGCTTAGCTTGGCGTCGGTGCAAGAGCAGCGATTACCAAACGCAGCGAGCGTGGATGCCGAGGACACGCCACCGATAACACCGACGACGGCACAACATTCCAAGGTAACCGCTCCATTGAACCCGCTCGCTCGCTCGCTCGCTCGCTCGCTCTATCTCTCTATTTCTATCTCCTCTCTCTCTCTCTCTCTCTCGCCCTCTATCTCTATCTTCTCTACGTCTCTCTCTCTCTCTCTCTCTCTCTATCTATCTATCTATCTATCTCTTTTCCTCTCTCTTTATCTATCTATCTATCTTCCTTCTATCGAGATCCGATCCAACTCCAGATCTGCCGTTTCAATTTCTTCTTTGCTCGTCCCGTCCTCGAGATCTGGAAACACACGCTACCCATTGCATGCGGTATCCCCAGGTCCTTCCCTCGACCCACTTGTTACGCTTGGAAATCCATATCCCCTGGTGTCCGCCTTTCTCTCTCTCTCTCTCTCTCTCTCTCTCTTTCTTTCTGTCTCCTCCGAGGAAGAAGAAAAGAAGAACCGGGAAGATAGTGAAAAAAAAAAAAGAACGGATTAGCCTCGTGGCATTTTCTAAATGAGCTAATCTCGATTCGAGTCTCGGACTCCGGCCGGAGCTCGGACTCGCCGATTGGAACCAGTAGACGGAAACGTTTCCCGCGTTCCCTGCTTGTGAGACGCCCTTCCGGCGGAGAGTACGCGCAATCGAGACACGAACGATCGCGAACGACGCGCTTCGACAGGAACCGTTCGCCTCGAGAGGTGTTCGCGAAACCGGGCTTCCCGACGATCGCGCTACAAATCCCGGTCTCCTCGTGCCTTCCTCCTTCGCTACGTACACATTTGATCGTGTGGCACATTTTGTCGCGAGTGGCACGGCACACGATTCGCGTGATTATCGGAAACATCGGCTTTCGTCAGAAGATGGGCACATCACAGGCTTAACGAGCGAATTATGGTCGCGACAGGTTCCCCAGGAGAAATGTACCATATTTTCGCTAATAGCGCCAGCAGTCCGGGGAACATCGCCGATCGATGGAACATTCCTAATTATGGGACAAGCGAATTGTGGACAAACGTGTGCAGAATGCGGGGAAAGTCGACACAGTCCACCGGTTCCCTCAGCGGGTCGATCTTCTCCTAACGGCAACGTCCAGCGTCACATAATTTTGTACGTCACTGAAAACGAGCAGTAAATAATGATTGGTAACTTGACAACGGATAGATGTTACTTTGAATCTTATTTTGGGACGTGATTTTGTTGGATATCGCGGAATGGAAATTCGGAAAGTCGTTGTCGGGTTGTATCTCAACATGGGATCTCGGAAAACGGAACATTTCTCCTGGTATTTCCGTCTTGTTGTACGGACTTACGTTATTGTAATTATTATAATTCGTAAAATGTGCGATATTGAACGCTATTCAGAATAAAATAATACATAATAATATGAATTGTCGAGGCGAGACATTTCTGAAAGAAATTCTTCGCGCTTGACAGACGAAAGATTGCAATTTACGAGTTCCGCGAAGCATAATTGGAGATCGCTCAACGAAACTTCGCGGAAACCTTACGGGAAACGATTGTGCCCATCGCAGCTTTTCTGTTCACCTCTGCGAACTCGTTCACCGAACACTCTTCAACACGACGGCAACATTATATAATCTGCTACACCTGTCAACAAAGTAGAGCGTCGATGAGACCACTCCACGCTTCGTAGATCTTTCTTGTCCCACATAAGTAAGCCGACATGGTATTTTGCAGTGACACACACACGCATATATATATATATATATATATATATATATATATAT